GCTTCCCGGCCCCCCCAGCCCACCCCAAGGCGGGCGAAGGAAGGCCTGCCCGGGGCTAGCCGGAGAGGCAGTGAGAGAGGGGGGACGGGACCTGGCCCAGCCAGCCGCTGGCGAAGCCGGTTTCCAGCAAGAGGTGTGTGTCCAAAACTTTCGGTCTGTCTGCGCCTGTCTAGGGAATCTGTCCAGCTTCCAAGTTTCCGGCCCTCTGGCTGCTCCCATTCCGTCGCGCATCACTTTTAGATTGTAAGCTGCTCCTGGCGGAGACCTTTTATTTTGTAACGCCCCACGCATGCTGAGTGCGTAGCAGCAGCAGGGGTGCCAACATGAATAAAATATTGGGGCGGGGGGGGGGCATGTAAGCCCTGCCCCGCATAATCGATCACAAGATGTGGCAAGATTGGCAATGCCTATCAACTTTTTAGGGGAGCGGCCCCCTCAAATATTTTATGGGGGACGACGACGAAGGGACTTGGGTCCCCTAGGAGCAGCAGTAATAACATTAAAACTAAAATAATGTGTGATCAATTCTATGTCACACACATATTGTCTATAGCCGCGCGCGCGCACAGCATACATTGAAACTGCAATCCACGTTCCTGGAAGCGAACCTCACTGAAAATCAGCGGGCCTTACTTCCGAGGAGATATGCATAGGATTGCTTAGTAAAGCATATGTGTCTACATTAAATCGTAAATATTATCTGTTCTCTTTGCATGTGTGTTTTAATACGCACCTTGGAATAAACCGTGTTCTTCTGTCTCTGTTTGTTCTACAAGTTATCAAGCACAGAACTTGCATATGAATGAAAGAAAATGGCAACGGAAATACGATGGATACGGACGAAGGATATACGAGCTGGATCACTCCAGTCGAGAGGGGGCGAGGGTTCGGCCGTGGAAGTGAATGAGGCGTGGGGAGCTTTTTAGCCTGCCTGGGAGCCCCACGCGCGCTCCTGAAAGCGCACGCGGAGCTCCGGCTGAAACTTAAGAGCCCAAGCCGATCCACTCGTGAAGAGGTCAACAGGTTATTCGCAACAACTGCAAGGGCGTATAAATACGAAAGCGAGGCGAAAAATAGACCTGAGACTGGGATATCTTTTTCCTTTGATTTGTAACCGCCTTCGCATTTTTAGTTCCTTCTTTCGCGCCGATCTCCTCCTCCTTCACGCGGTCCTGTTCTGTTTACCACGATGGTAGAAGCATCTCCGAAAGAGCAGCCAGGCGCCTGGGGAATGAGCTGGCTGTGCCTGAGACGGTGGGTCTCTTCCCCTTCCCTTAATCGGATTATCAGTGAAAGGAATATCCTTCACATTCCATCTGGGCAGACTCTTGAAAACGTCCGCCTGGAAAAGAGCGACGCCTGAACTGAGAGGCGCTCTCCATGTCAGGCAAGCGGCCTCGAAATTACGTTAGGTCATTTTCACAAGGAACTTATTTATATATATTTATAAGTATATGCTTTCCTCTGTCTTAGCTGTCCATTTCCCTGTTTCTTGAGAAAGAGTGGCGCGGGGGTGGGGTGGGGGAATGGATTGCGAGTCTATTGGCTTTTTAATTATTCCTCTTAAACACTCCATAGGCAATCGGATGTCTTTAACATCCATTAGATTGCTCTTTTGAAAAAGGGGCGTAGCGAGACTTGGACTTAGCGCCTCGTCTGGATCCCTCCCCTGGCTTCAGTTCACCTGATCTGCCTTCGGCCCGCCCTTTCATTTAACGCCCATGCAAATCTGAAAAGGCTGTCAGAGTCCCGCAGCTAATGTCAAAGACGCGGCTAAACGGATGCGTTCCTCCTCTGTTCCTTTGGAAATAAAGTCCCCTTTTTTTACTTTCCATTCTCCTCTGCCGGGTAGCTAAGATTGGACCAGCGAGCCTTCGGTTGTTCTCATTTCCTTAACGGTGGATATAAGAATTTTCCATCCGCTTGGGAAAGTTTTCAGGATTATTATTTTTAATCGCTAGGTTCCTAGCGCGCAAACCACAGTGGGTTGAACTGGCCCCTATTTTAGTGCCATTTAAATAGGAGCAAAACCGGATAGAAAAGGAAACGCCGGTCTCGCGTGCGTAAAAGTTCCAACCCTTGGGGACACCTCGCGCTTCCCTCCTTGGAGGATTATCTCTTAATAGAGAGGGTTAAGAGCAAAATGCCTTGGAGGGGCCGAACCCCCTCCTAGGATTGTGGCGCAGGTTCCTAATCTGGCTTTACTGAGGAGCCGCGGAAAATGCGCCCGTGCGCGATCGCCGGGTCTAGATCCTCCTTGGCAGAGGATCAGAGCTGTCCACTATTGTCTTCCTTCCCTTGAATTTAATAACAGAGGTTTAGATCCGTTTGGAGTTAAGACCCTGAGCACGCTCTCGACAATTGAAACACACAGAGACAAACAGACATAAGATTTCCTTGCGAGCAAACGAGGGTCGAGGCGCCAGGTGCTACGCTTCATTCTGCTAACCACCGACAGCGGGTGTCCTGGGCTAACGCCGGTGTGGAATCGGAAGCAATTGCTCTTAATTTCAGTGGAACAGACTAAGCCATCGGAGCCTCAACCTGGCAGGCTGTGTGGATGAGTCCCCAAGAAGGCCGGGAACCCAAAGGGTGCTCCACCCCTTGGCCACTTCCAAATGCAGACATCCTCCTCCGTTTCAATCCCAAAACGCAGACTTCCGTTTATTAAATGTTATTATAGATATTATAAGGTGTGTGTTTATATTATGTTACATATATGATGTACATACTGTATAATGAATTAGGCTCCATATCATATATATATATACCTGGGTCCATGTCTAGACGCGAATACACCAGGGAAAATATGGAAAATTGGGTGTGGGAAAATAAATTCTGCGACACGAAAAAAGAGAGCGAGAGCGTGCACAGGCAGAGAGACATATAAAATCTTTACTAGGAAGAGACAAGGGTCCGAAGGAGACTGAAGTCGCCTTCTGTTTCGAAGTCTCCTCGAGAGGAGGCTGGTCCCTCTTTCTCAGAAGGAAGGAAAGGGACTTGGTTTTGCGGAGGACGGAGAGAAGCGCGCGGGGCCTCCTGTTTCGCGGCCGCCTTTCCGCGCAATAAGCCCAATAAAACTCCGCAGGTCTCTTTGCATTTACTGTTGCCATTTAAATTATTCAGTGTGTTGCGGTAATTGAATCCTAAGCTTTAAAAACTAATATACTCCCTCCTTGTCACCGCTTTCTGAAATCACGAAATCAGCCCTAACAGGTGCTGATCAAATACTATTACATTCTATTAAAAGGAAAATTCTATTCCCTGTTTTCATTTCCCTTTATAAAGGGGAAACTAAGTAAATGCATTTGAACGTTATTTAATTTTTAACGCTTTTAGTCCAATTTGGACGTTAGGGAGCGTCTCCAAACTCACAGAACCAGACGGCGGGGCAATAAGTTTCGCTGACAGGAATTAATCCAAAACGGAATCCCTTCTTCCGAGGCTCCCTCTCGGCGACGGAGGCTGCGCCGTGCAAACACCGGCCAGGCTCATCCAAGAGGGAGGCGAACAATTTCTTGCCATGAGGTGGAAAGAAACGGAGACTTAGACAAATAAAACACTGGGGAAACTCCACCGCCCCACGAAGAACGATGCGCTGTATTTCAACAGATCTAAAAGGCATCGAGCCGAAGAAAGGCCACTTTAGTTTCTGACATATTTTACATGCACATAGCGCAGAACAGATTTGAATCTGGGTAAATCCGAGCGCCTTTCCTCCTCCAGGGAAAAGAACTTGGTGATTCTCTTCTCCCACTTGCAGAAATTGGGAGAGGGTTGAGTTCCTTCGCCCTACCCCAGCTTCTGGGTCGAACATTTGTTATGGATTGCTGCAGTCTGACATATTTTATGTTATTATTTTATTTTAAAAACCCACCCGCCAAATAAACACGCCATTGAGTGCGTTGTTAAATACCTCTGGATACGTGAATTTTACCAAAATGCTCGCCTCTTCATTGGCCTGGGGTTGTTTTCCAGAAAACCAACCTCCATCCTTAATCAGAGGGAGAATTGCCCTGTCTAAATACCCGTAGCTGACTGTGCATAAGCATTTTTTGACTCGGCCCTGAAGTTCCACTGGGTCCAATGAGACTTATTTCCCAGTAAATCTTCGTAGGGGGGAGGTCTGTAGGCTTCGGATTCCCCAAACTAAATGGGTGGGGGTGAAAGAGGGGAATAACTCTGGACTTCCCAAACCAGAATGGTTTCCCTTTATTTGCATTTAAAAACAAAAACATCTCCCCAAGCCCTTAAGACGGGGCGCGGAGCGGGGAATCGGCCCAGTTGCGGTCAGCCCGCGCCTTCCTCCCTTTTGCAAACAAAGCAATATATAGGAAAGAGGGGCATCGATCCCAAATTAATCCACCGAGGAGGGACGGAGCAGCCTCGGCAACGGCCAGCCTGGAATTCTGTTCAACTAGCATATTTGTTAATGATTCCAAAGGGTGGGAAGGGGAGGGGAGGGGAGGGGAGGAGGGGAGCCCCCCCCCCAGCAATTGCTCAGGTTTGTTCAATTTCATATCGCTAATTTCGAAAGGCAACCCTCGCAGATGCTCATTGCAATATCCGCCCCGCATTATCTTAGCTAATAAATTTGACCTATTGTTCGTTTGTTAAAATGATGTCACCACGGAACAGTCCCTAAGCTCCTATTCCAATGAATTAGGCCTTTATTGAAACCCGGGAGCCAATGGGAGGAGAGAGGCTTGTTTGGGGTGGCCAATGGCAGCTGCGGGAGAGAAATTAGAAGCAGGAACTCCAGGTTTGGTTCAAAAAAAGATGACAGAGAGCCTGGCGAGCTGGACCAGTCTTGGCAAAGTTTCAGTGTGACATCCATACAAACCAAGAGGACCTTACATGGATCTACTGTGAAATAAGGAAGGGGAGCGTTTTTATAGGGGAATTCTTGCGGTGTTGTTGTTGTGTGTGTTTTTTTTAGGTTTTTTTTTTTTTTTACCCCTTCTCCTTTCGTTTGAGCCAATATTTCTAATTCACCAAGGATGGATCAGCCAACGAACACGCAGACCCCGCACCAACACGAACCCATCAGCTTCGGGATTGATCAGATTTTAAACAGTTCCGACCAGGAGACCCCTTCCCAACCGGCCCCGCGAGGATCAGACGTCGGCGGCGGCAGCGCGAATTACCTGGGCAGCCCCGTGGGCAGCCGGACGGGCGCCCCGTACCCTTCTCTCCCAGGCGCCTTCCCTGGCATCGGGGCGCCCTTCGAGGACTCTGGATCTTACAGTGTGAATCTCAGCTTGGCTCCATCTGGCGTGATCAGGGTGCCAGCTCATAGACCCATCCCTGGGGCAGTGCCACCTCCCATTTCTAGTGCCATACCAGCCATGCCAGCTGTACCCAGCCTTGGCAGCCTCAACTTCCCCTGGATGGAAAGCAGCAGGCGGTTCGTCAAGGACAGATTCACAGGTAAGCGGAGGGGTGGTTGGGATGCGAGCGGGAGGGAGGGGGGGTGTCTCAGAGGCACGACCCCGGGAGAAAGAGAGAGAAGAGGGAAAGAGGACGAACTTCAGCCCGCAAGTTCCTTTGGCAGCGTGTTTCCAAAGTGTCCGTGCTTCTAAAGATTATACTGATATATGTGAATATACATACATACATACATTGCGCACACAGGCACTCAACCTCAATATCATGCAGCTTCAACAGGGGGAAAGAAATCTCCTTTAAAAAAAAACCCCAATGCAATTCAGTTTTGTGCGTCGTGTAGGGAGAGATAAATATTCCAATTTTGCTGATGTGGAATGTGTTTGTGTGTCTAAGTGAGGGAGACGGTTGATCAGTTTGTGGTACCAAATTGTGGTTTCAGTATTTGGGCGGCCAGGACTGAGACGCAAACATTCTACTTATTCCCTTTTTATGTTTGTTTCCTAGGGATTTTCTTTTCTTTAAAAATCACCGTAAATAGTGACGGCCTGGAAAGCTGTCCCCGCGCCACTAATCTGAATCGACCCCCCGCGCTCAGAATTCAAAGCCTCGATTCTAATTCATGGTTTTGTGGGGCTGATTTGTTTAAATCGCAGTGTACAAGGAGAGAGGGGAAGGCGAGGGAATCGCCGTGCCTAATCTGATTACAGAATGTAAGAGAGGGGGCTGGAGGCGGAGAACAAGCAGCTAAAAACTAAATGAGAAAGCTAGGGTGGTAATTTAAATATCTTCGAATCCAACGCGGATTAGATGAAGGACGAGGAAACGGGGAGATGGGCATGGTTAGAAAATCCCCTTGCAAATAAGCCCCCTCCCCTTATGAGAGTGGTGGTGTTTCACTTCAGGGTGAAGGCATTTATTTGTGGAGAGAGGGGGGGCTTTAGTTGAGGTGCCCATCAGCAAATCTTAGGATAAGCAGACAGAGAAAATGAATGTGATAACCCTTTAAACTTGGAGAGGCACTATATTAAATGTGATTATCATCATCATCATCACTTGCTGGCTTGGTGAGTATATTTCCTAGCCAGGAATGTACTTAATTTGGCCAGTTCCTGAAAACGAAAACTCTTATTTCCACTATTGCTTAACAGCTTCTCCTCCATCCATCCATCTCTCTTTCTCTCTTCAAGGCTGTTCTTAGCCCGTCCCTGTTGTGGGTGGGTGAGATGTTCTTTTTTTGTGTGTGTCTCTACACCACATACCTTAACTTGCGCGCCCGCCTTCTCTGTGATTCCAAATTAATGGGTCCAGAATAACTTCGATTCCCTTTCACAAAGTCTCTCTAGGGAGGGCTTGAATCCCCACGTCACCCATAAGTACGGACTGGATGGGGGTGGGTGGTCATGGGCGGGACAAGCCACTTTTGCCACCCGCCTAGTTACTGGGGAGGAATGTCACCCAGCACTAAGAGAACTAAACTAATCCATGTTAAGCGCGCTTGAATGGGCGCCTCAAGGCGCTCTCCTGCGCTGCTTTCTCTTACCATGTCTAAGTGTCCAACTCTCCGGGCCTGCTAAGATGCTTCCGAAGCGGAGTTTATCGGCCATCAAAGCACTGCTGGCTTATAGAGGGAAGAGAAATTACGCCCCTTTGCTCCCTCCCTCCCTGTGCTGCTCTGGGGCCCCCTAGCCTGGTTGGGGCAGGGCTCCCGTCTGTTTCTCTCTCTGCCCCCCGTTCCTTTGCGCGTCTCTCTCACCCTGCCGCGTCTTCTGTCCTAGCGGCGGCGGCGCTCACTCCTTTCACGGTGACGCGGCGGATCGGGCACCCTTACCAGAACCGCACCCCGCCCAAGCGCAAGAAGCCGCGCACGTCCTTCTCCCGGGTGCAGATCTGCGAACTGGAGAAGCGCTTCCACCGGCAGAAGTACCTGGCCTCGGCCGAGAGGGCGGCGCTCGCTAAGTCGCTCAAGATGACCGACGCGCAAGTGAAGACCTGGTTCCAGAACCGCAGAACCAAGTGGCGGTGAGTCGGTGGGTCAGTGGATGGCTGTGGGGTGGGGTGGGGGACCGAACGAGTAAATGGGTAGGGTGGGAGGGAGCCGGATACCTAGGGATCGGGGCCTCCTCTGCTTCCTGCCCTTCGCCCTGACACCTTTCTCTGTCGCCACAAATGGAGTTGGTGAAAGGAATGGTGCTGAAATGGACAGCGACCGAGGAGGAAGAGCGCAGCGCTCTAATTCTAGCGGCGTGTGACTTCTCGTTTACTGGACAGAGCGGCAGAAGCGAAATTAAACAGAGCCGTAATTTATTCGGGGAGCGGGTGAGAATCTTTTCTCCCCACACCGTGATTATGAAACACTACAGAGCCCAAGGCCAAATCCCAAAATCCTTCCACAGGCATCCCGCGCTATTTTGGGCCCATCCGCCTCTCCCCGACTCTCTCTCTCTCCCTTGCCCTCCTTCCGCCGCCATCCTAAAAGCGCGATCCTGAAAAGCGGAGCACGCACACATGGAGCCGGTTCCAGACGTCCCCTTCCATCCAGCGACCTCAGGCCCACTGGTTTGGAAGGGCAGGCAAAAAAACCCCAGTTGCTCACTCTGCGCACATTCTGTTCACGATAAATGCAGTGAATATCTGGAGTTTTTGTTTGTTTTGGTAGAAATTAAGGAAGACGACCACAGTACGAGGCAATAATAATTAATATTAATATTAATAATATTTTTGCGCGGATCCGGGAGTTAATAAAGAGGAATTCACTCTCACAGTAAAGGTGAATCTGCAAAGAGATCCGTACAACATTGTGGCTCCTTCGCGGAATTAATAGTCAGGCGAGGTCGCGACGGACACGGGGTTACGCGGCATTTCAAAAAGGACTAGAGATTGTTTCATGGACAAAAGGCCTGTCTGTGCCAGCAGTGGGGAGCTGAGATCTTCCAGTTGTTCCTGGACTCCCATCATCCCTGACCATGGGCTACCTGACTGGAGCTGAGGGGAGTTGGAGTCTAACAGCCCCCCACCACATTCCTTGCCTTTTGCTATGGAAACTAAGCAGAACTTCCAGGTTCGGAGGCACTGTATCTCTGAAACCCGGGCGTCTGCTGAGACGTGGGAGCAAGAAGGGCTGTCGCTTTTGTCCTCTTGCTTGTGCTGCCCGGATGATCGCTGCTGGAGGTAAAATGCTGGACTGATCCAGCCAGGCGCTTTTGATTTATTTGGCTTCCAGGCGCGCACAGGCACCGAGAAAACAGTTTCCAGGGCCCATCGCCTTGGTAGGGGTCAATGGGAAAATGGAGTTGGGGGAAAGGGTTAACTACCTTCCCATGCTCCGTGGTCCCAATTCAGACCTCTTTCCCTGATTCTTCTTGTCCTAAAGAATTTCGGAGTTCAAACATGCTTTTGAAATCACCTGTCCTGTGACCCTCGTAGTGAAAAATGAAATACACCCTCGCAACACCCCGAAATAGCTGTCCCAGTGGCGCAAACGGAGCGCAGGACTGCACTCAAAATCCTCCACTCCGCGCCGTCCATTTACTTTTTACACCAACGCGCAAGGCTGAGCTCGGAGCGCAGTAAAAAATAAACCCGCCCTTTTATTTCCCCAAAGTTTTGTCGCCTTGATTTACTCTTCAAGCGTTCTTGAGAGCTACTGGACGCACATATATGTACCTATATATTTGTGTGTGTGTCTTTTGAATGGCGACACCCTACTCGGAAGTAAACTATGCTGACTTCCGTGGCAGTTCTTGTTTTTCCGAGTAAGTAGGACGCAGAAGGCTCCGGCCTTTAGAGGTCGGATCTGCTCTCCTGGGAGGTTTACTCGACGCCTGTCGGCTCAGAAGCGTTTCCACTCTTGTTTGAGGCTGCAAACCGCTCCAAGGCCGCTGTTACTTGCAACGCTTTCTTTGTATTAGCGACGCTGGCTACGCCTCGTCCTCCTCCGCTGTAGGACATCGGATTAATGGAAACGGACTCGCTTTGCGGTTGCAACGAGCGCCTGGGCCCTAGGACAAAAATGCTGATATAAATATTGTGTTTGTGTTAACGGCACGATAACGTGAATGCTACGCTCATAGTAATGCTATAAAAACAACAATAACAATATTATTATTATTAGCTATTCTTTTTTAAAAAAATTTTTTATTGAAACCTTTCAGCATAGACTACAATAAAAACAGATTAATCCAAAAAGGAAAAAAAGAAAATAACATGAAATATTATCATCATTTGGATTAAGAGATCTAAATCCCGGGTCACAAACTGGAAACATTACAAGAGGAACAACCGATTCTGTTTCCTCTGGAAATCTGTTGGAAAGGGTCCAACGCACAAGGTTGCTATTTCTCCTTAAGTCCGCCTTTCCCCAGGTTTGGGTTGCTGTCTTATTTGTAGGGTGAAAAAACAACAACAGGGATCCACTTTTGGCATCTCGGCGCATAATAGCTTCCAGGCTCCTTCGTTTGCGACCCTTAATAGTCGGAGGTTGGGCGACAGCAGGGATTCGGCGCTGACTTCCTACCCGCATTCCTCACCCTGCGCCTAAAAACAAACCCAAAATAAAATAAAACAAAAACCTCGACCGCCTACAATCATCACTGAAATGCTTCTGGACATTTTATGCAGTGCTGATTCAAAGTCCGCATTACGCCTATTTATTTGTAACAGCGCAAAGGCAGGTCCGGAGACAGTTTCGCGTCGCTTGGCCACCAAAACGAGCGAGCAAAGTTCCTGGGAAAATGGGTTGGAATAGATGGACTGATAAATTTAAAAAGCTCCTGCCTTTCCCCTCCAGTCTCTATGAAAACAAATATCCACCCGCCAAAACAAAAGCCTTTTAATTCAGCTTTTGAAAAGGAAGCCTTTCGATCTGAAAAATGCGAAATACGTTTAAATTTTTATTTTATTTTTTGGTTATAAATTTGGGCATTGGGAGGGGGAGAAGTGAGAAGGGGCGTGAGGGAGGTTTTGTAGCTGGAAATTGTTTGGAAAGGGGAGAAACCCTCCCCTCCCGTTATTGCAAAGGGTTGTTTTCCACATTTGAAAAAAATCAAAGCACTGTTCCCTTTCTCCTAGTCTCGTCCCAGATGACTTGAGGGGCTCCTGCCGGGTTCAGCCGGTCATTCACGGCTGTCCCCGGTCCCCCGCGGCTCGGTCAGAAATCATGCGCCTCTTTTCGAAAACTCGGGGTTTATTTTTGTTCCCCGCCCCCGCAATCGATGACGACGATTCCGATCCCCTCCTAGGGAAATGCAACCGGCGTTTCAAGAACTGACCAGCAGGTGCAGAGGCCGCGATCGCCGCTGTCCGCAGCTCAAAGAAGAGGCCTCGGCGGCCGGATCGGTGCCCAGATAAAAAAATACCAGGATCCGGAGGGATTCCTGGGGAAATGCGTTGGAAGTCGAAAAGCCTTGTTGAATGCCGGTGGCGATTGCGGGGCAAGAAGGAGGCTTACTCGCGAGGAAGTCGCCCCGCGTAGAAATCCGCGGCTCGGATTTCCGGGGAAACTGGCCTAGCTGCGCAGAGCGCAGATGCGGGAGGAAGGGGTTTTTCCATCCCGGTGCCTCTTCGACTCCGCTTTTTGAGCCGCAAAAGGAGTCAAAGTGGTTCAGGGATTCCGGTCCTCACCCAGTCGACCCGTTCCTACTTTCCCAAACGGCGGTGAGTTCCAAGGAGGCTTCACCGCGGCGCTGAAAAGCGCCAGGACTTTGGCTAACGAAGAAAGGCGTTTGGAGCCGAGATGTCTCATCCGCGGACTTTTCAAGGAGAAATTGCGCCTGGTGGGGTTAAAATTGGGCAGGCTATTTCCACTAGGCTTCCCGGGCTAGTGACCTCTGGGAGCGCCCCCAAATTTGGCCCAAATTCAGGAGAGATCGCTTTTGGAGAGCGGAGCACGTCCGCGCGCCTCTGTAGACGCGCCGCGTTTCGATCTCAAGTCCCGGGCGCATCATATCGTGGTTTCCTTTTCGTAGCGCTTTCTTGTTGGAAGGGACAAGCGAGACTGAAAGTTACGGGTGCGGGAAACCAAAGCTAACGCCAGCGCTAGTTGGGCTCAAGGAATCTCAAATCCACCGGCTGCGGATCGGGCGCTGATTCGGCCTAGAAACCAAGTCCTTCGGATTAACGGGTTCATGGCTCGCCCAGGCCTGACCTCCTTGCCTCAGTTTCTCTCCCGCAGTCCTCCCCCGCCCATTTATCCTTGAATTCCTCTGATAAATTCTCGTACAAAGCGGGCTTTTCCTGCCCCACTTAAATTATGGGGATGCCCAGGTTTGCGCACAGGTCTACGTTTGCTGGCTTACTTTGCGGGAGGGAAGGAGGAATGGGATTGGGGGGGTCGCCTCTTTTATGGGTGGTATTGCTCTGCTTTGGAGAGCGTAGAGAAGAGATTTGGGGGCGGGGGGTCGTCCAGTTTGGGAAACGTTGGGATGTGCGGCTCTCGTGTTTACTGAACGTTCCTTCTGGTTTTATCGCGCCAAGTTTCTGGCGCGCGCCCGGCCTTGATTTGTGGGCGGCAGGTGCGAAGCAACAGCAGTTGGAATAAATCGCGGAAAAAGAGGCACTTTTCTGCTTCTTTGGAGGGGCGGAAAAGGGAGGAGGTGGTGTCTGTGCCACGATCCGGTTAAAACAGCCGGGGGCGATTCCTTGACGCGCCTGTCGCTTGGGGCGCCCAGGATGGGGGAACGGAAAGTCCTCGACGTGGTGGGATGGGCCGGCCGCCATCTGAGCCCCATCTGAGCAAGCTGCGCTCTCTGAAAGCCGCACCCCCCTCGCAGAAAGCAGAATTATTATTTAAACGAATAAAAGGACCCTGTTAATTCGGAGCCTGTGGAAACTGTTCCGGCGAGCCAAAGGGCTGCCGCTGTGCACCCGCTTGGGAGTAAAGCTCCACCGAACCCCTTCTTTTCTCCCGAGGAGGCCTGAGTCGCGCTGCTCGACCGGGGATCGCGCTGCTGCTCGACCGGGGGAGTTGAGCAAACTTAACCCCTCCTCCTGAGTAAACCTGGGGCCCTCTCTCCAGGCTGCAAATCTTCTCTGCCCGTCTTTCTGTGAACTGGGGGGGAGGGCGGCCTTCTGAGTGAGCCCGGGTGGAATTTGCGCTGTCCAAAGAGAGAGAGAGAGAGAGAAAAGCATTTCGTTTGGGCTGGAAGGAAGCGGGCAGCCGGTGGCGCAGGGGACCTTCGGTTGCCCCTCGACGGCCACAGAAGGCGAGCGCGGGCTTTGCTTGGGCGTCGTCGGCTGCCTAGCGAGGGGATCTTCTGAGCTGTGCCTTTTTTCCTCTTTAGGAGACAGACGGCGGAGGAGAGGGAAGCCGAGAGGCAACAGGCCAGCCGACTGATGTTGCAGCTCCAACACGACGCCTTCCAGAAGTCCCTGAACGACTCCATCCAGCCCGACCCGCTCTGCCTGCACAACTCCTCGCTCTTCGCGCTGCAGAACCTCCAGCCCTGGGAAGAGGAAGGCTCCAAGATCCCGCCCGTCACCTCCCTGGTGTAAAAGGATCTTGGCCCGGGCCGGCGGGCGGGCCTCGGAAAGGCAGACACCCTCCTCCACCTCTCCCTGCATGAACCGAAGGCCGAAACTCAGCAAAGAAGGTGCTCCGACCAAAAAAAACACAACCGCGAAAAGGACCGAGGACGGGAAGCGGTCCGAGGACGCGTGTGCGCGCTGGCCGCGGGGAGGGGTGATCCCACTTCTGACACCAGTGTTGCTGCCGCCGCTGGCGATGGACCCTCGCGGAGGCCCTCCGTATCCCTGGAGGGGACTGCATGGATTATTGTATGAGGAATGCTCTCGCCAGCCATATTCCTACCCCTCCACCCTGCCCGCCGCCGCCACCAAGCAAGAACTACTTGGCTGGTTCTTGCCAGTTCCACGCTCCTTCCAGCCTTGGAAGTTTCCCCAAGCCTCTCTCGGCGGCCCAGAAGCGAGAGAAAAGATCGCAGATCTCGCCTCCCCCGGCGAAAGGCAAGAGCCCCACCATATATCTGAATTTTCCAAGGGCAAGCAAGCAAACGAACCAACAACAAACAAGAACTTTGCCTCGGTGTGTGAGTGAGTGAGCGAGTGAGCGAGTAACTCTTGGCTACTGCGCCAGGAAAACCAGGGCGCCCCTTCCCGCACTGCCTCCCCTGGGCTAGATCCCCGCTTCCCTACTCACCCGCAAGTGTCGATGGTGGGAGAGAGGGGATGCCGTCTTTTTGGGAAAGGTCTTCCGTTGCCCAGGCCTCCCAGTTCCTAATGGTTGGTTAATGGTGGCCGTCGAGGCGAAACAGCCCCGACAGGGACCGGGAGTCTCCAAGCGGTGCCCCGGAGACAGGAGAAGGTGCGGGGGCGGAGAGAAGGAAAGGGGGTCATTTCTGTGTGTGTCTGTAAAAAGAAAATGTGAATAATTTAATTTATTTATGCCTCGAGATGCCGAGCACTGTTAATACGCAGAGAGAGGACTTTGATATTTCTATGGAAAGCGGAACAAATATTTTCGGTTGGCTCGAGAAAGGAGAATATAATAGGGGGCGCGCTTTCCTCCTTCCTCCGGCTCTTACCTTGGAAGGCCGGCCCTCCCACCCCGAAAACCACTTAGCAAAGGAAAATAAATCCATTATCTTAAGGAACCCTGTTAAGCTGAGAAGCCGCCCGCCCCCAGCTGTCTCCCAAGCGAAGCTAACGCCACCCGTAATTTATTCGCCACGGTAATAAGGGCTCCCCTTTCACGCCACGCAGACTTTCGGTTGCCTTTATTATGATTATTTTCCGCCCCAGCCTCCCCTTTCTGGCAGGATACGAAGATGGAGCGAGGCTGGTTGGAACGGGGGTGGTGGTGGTGGGAGGGGGGGGGGAGCAAAAAAGAAAAGAAAGCAACCTCCCTCCCCATGTTCCCCCCCCAAACCCCATTGCGCAGCCGATGCCCTTTGCCCGCGACCGAAGTAGAGAGAAAGCGCCTTATGTTTCATAATAAAACTACGAAGGAAGAGCGGAGGTTGATCCAGACCGTGTATAATACTTTGTACTTGCTGAAAGGTGTAAATAAACGTTTTCTTTAAAAATGGTTCTGGTTTGAGCTGTGATTAAGGAAGCCTGAAACCTGGATTTTGATCGGCTAAAGTGGACTAAGGGGCTCAGTGTTTTCTCCCGCGGAGCTGACCCTTCCCCTTCAGCGTCCGCAGCCGGAGAATCATCTACCTCCATCATCACCTGCTGGTCCTTTTAGCTGAAGATTTGAATTTTTGAATTTGAAATACTTGATTGTCACTTGTACAACTTGTATACAGTGAGATTACACGCACACACCCCACTCAGCTCTCTTAGTCTTAATTCCCCTCCTTTACTGACGCACACCCACCAAACCCAAAAGTCAGTTGCCCTGTTGTTATCTTTTCATTCAGCAGCCTAACAGCCCACAGATAGAAGCTGTTCTTTACCCTGTTGGTGCGACTAATCATGCTTCTATATCTTCTGCCCGAGGGCACAAGATCAAGAAAGTGCCGGCCGGGGTGTGAATCATCCCTGAGGAATTTTCCTCACTCTCCTGAGGCAACTTCCGCTATTTCATCCAGTGGATTCACGGGACAGCCCATAATATCTTGTGCTGTATTCACCACCCTCCGTAGGCACTTCCTATCAGATGATGTCAAACCAGCGTACCATACTGTGATGCAATATGAAAGGACACTTTCTATTGTGGACCGGTAGAAGGAGGTCATCAGATGTTGATTGACATTGATGATGGATACTGAACCTGGTCAGGCCTTCTAGCTGCGGAGCAGGTGGTCTTCCACCTAGCTGGTCTCCTCCCCTAGAGGTGCGTGCGTGTGTGTTAGAGAGAGCTAGAGATCTCAAATCCCTAAGCTTTATGCAAGAGCTTGTCTCCTTCCTCCCAGGATCTGAGAGCTGCAGAAACCCACAACATTGGGAGAGCTCCAGGTGGAATCTAGACACATACAAAGAACGCTGTGAAAATGTTCATTTAAAAAACGTATATATATATATATATATATATATACACCTATATTGACTTTGCCATTCACTCACCATCGCCATCTTGTGTCACATTTGCATAATGCACTTAAAACGTTACATTTGCAGCTGTGTAGCTGAGTCCCCGGGACGCGGGTGGCGCTGTGGGTTAAACCACAGAGCCTAGGGCTTGCCGATCAGAAGGTCAGCGGTTCAAATCCCGGCGGCAGGGTGAGCTCCCGTTGCTCGGTCCCTGCTCCTGCCAACCTAGCAGTTCGAAAGCCCCTCAAAGTACAAGTAGATAAATAGGTACCACTCCGGCGGGAAAGTAAACGGCGTTTCCGTGTGCTGCTCTGGTTCGTCAGAAGCGGCTTAGTCATGTTGGCCACATGACCCAGAAGCTGTACGCCGGCTCCCTCGGCCAGTAAAGCGAGATGAGCGCTGCGACCCCAGAGTTGTCCGCGACTGGACCTAATGGTCAGGGGTCCCTTTACCTTTACCTAGCTGAGTCCCCGGGCTTCTCATCAGAGCAGTGGACTCTGTTTAGTGATCCACTTTGGGGTTTCTGAATGTGAAAGCCGGTCCCTCATCAGGCAGGGGCACAGGAGCAGGTGCGATGCAGGATGGGGCCCAGCTCCTGTACTTTGAAGAAGGAATGCCAGGAGGCACAGCTCCTCCTGCTACTTGCCGGGAAATCCTCTTCTGGGTGATTATTACAGGCACAAGAGCTCTCATGGGTTGTCTGAAGCTGACTTGCAGGGCTGGGGAAACTTTTTGCGGCCGAATGCTGCTCAGACACAGTTCCCATCACCCTTGACCATGCTAAATGGGGCTGAGGGACTTCAGCAAGATCTGGGCAACTGAAGGTTTCTCAGATCTGGCCATAGCTGTCAACTTTTCCCTTTCCTCCCCCTCCCCAATTTTTTATTGGTTTTCACAATATTATAAACAAACAAACAAGACAAACAAACATAAATCATAGCCTTATTGAAAATTACACTTATTAACTTTGTTAAGTGACTTCCTCGCTTCCCCTTGGTTGAATTTCATTGCATGTCCTTTTAACGGTTTTCCAAATCCCAATTCTTACGAAACTTAACTTAAACATTAACATCCTTAAATCTTCACCTTATGGAATTAAACATATTAATTCATCACTTAACATAAATAAAATCCTAAGCCAATTAAGTATCTGCAAGCTATTTTCAATTAATTTAACTTAACAAATTTAACTAGATAATCATTAAATTTATTCCACTCTTCCTGATACTCCTCCTCCTTCTTCTGGTTGCGGACTCTTCTGGTTAGGTCGGCTAGCTCTGAAAAATCCATCATCTTCATCTGCCATTCTTCTATTGTTGGTAATTCGTTGGTTTTCCACTTTTTAGTTAGCAAAATACGAGCAGCAGTTGTGGCATACAAAAATAATTTTACATCTTTCTTGGGCAATTCCAAACCTGTTATTCCAAGAAGAAAGGCCTCTGGTTTCTTTATAAATGTATATTTCAACATTTTTTTCAATTCATTATAAATCTTTTCCCAAACGTCTTCTGAAAAGACAACTTTTCCCTTTCCTTGCGAGGAATCCTATTTGGAATAAGGGAATTTCTCTTAAAAAAAGGGAAAAGTTGACAGCTATGGATCTGGTGGCTGTGATGCACAACTGGGCCACACCTGACCTAAGGTGGGTGGCGTACATTTTCCTATTGCTGCCTCCTTAAACCACAATTAATATTATTATCATTAGTACTGTAGTAGTATTCGGAAGTAAAATAGGGATAGGCGGGGAAAGGATGGAGACAAGATTAGCTCTTATCTTTTTGGGCTGCAGGTCACTGAATGGATTCTTCTCCAAATGGGGAGCCATTTGGCAGGGTGGCTTCGAGGACATAAAAACATAATAAAACATCACACATTAATAGTAGCAATCTGATCCAACATAAAAGTTAAAATAACTTTAAAACAAACAACTTATGTCAAACAAAGCAACATTCAACAACCCATCAGAATCTAATAGTAGACAGCAAAACTAAGCATCAGCAAATAGTAATTAAACAGTTCAACCACAATAAAGAATTACCAATATAATCAATAAAAGTAGAAGAAAATCACAATGCATAAAATACTACAAAACACACAAAACCATGTAAAAGGATCAAAAATGAGAAACAAAGATGCACAACCTATAAAACTATATATATATATATATATATATATATATATATATATATATATATACACACACCTGAATTCCTCTCTTCCCAGCTGCTGCTGTTGTTCTCAAAGTCATAATCTGGGAAAAGTGAGGTGGAGCAACGCAGATGGAAACACCATTGCCTGATGAGCAACAGAAAGTCTTTCTCCCCTCACTTAGAAAACTAGACTGTCAAGGAGCTGGCTAGACCTCAGGGCTTTGCCTTCCCTTGGTCCTTGCAGCAAGGGAAGCCCTCACAGCCGCCCGCAGCTGTGGCCTTCTTTCTGCAGATGGGGATGGACTTGAGGCTGGCTTGCATGGTCAACTCTCGACTGCCAGACTTGAGCTGCCTCACCCTCTGGGGTGTTGGGTAAGCAAAAGAGGAGGTGCGATGCAGTGACAGCACGTTTCTTTTACTTAAATTTCCACACACCTTTCTCCAAAGAGCTCGTGGTTTCCTCTCCTTCCTCTTCTTTTTGCCTGTGGAGGAGGAAAGAGAACCTTCTTATTCACCTCCATTCACCTGTCTTGCATGGAGCAGCAATCTGCTAAGGAAGTGATGGTCCTTCTAGTCCGTTGACAATTTAATTTCTTTTTTTTTCCCCTTCAATTTTTTTAATTGGTTTTCACAAGATTATAAACAAACAAACACATAAGACAAACAAACATAAATCATAGCCTTATTGAAATTACACTTATTAACATTGTTAAGTGACTTCCTCGCTTCCCCTTGGTTGAATTTCATTGCATATCTTTTTAACAGTTTTCCAAATCACAGTTCTTGTAAAATTTAACTTAAACATTAACATCCTTAGATCTTCACATTATGAAATTAAACATATTAATTCGACACTTAACATAAATAAAATCTTAAGCCAATGAAATGTCTGCAAGCTGTTTTCAGTTAATTTAACTTAACATATTTAACTAAGTAATCACTAAATTGAATCCACTCTTCCTGATACGCCTCCTCCTCCTGGTCGCGGACTCTTCCGGTTAGGTCGGCTAGCTCCGAAGAATCCATCATCTTCATCTGACATTCTTCTATCATTGGTAATTCTTGGGTTTTCCACTTTTTAGCTAACAAAATATGAGCCGCAGTTGTGGCATACAAAAATAATTTAACATATTTCCTGGGGAATCCCAAACCTGTTATACTCTGGTTTCTTTATAAATGTATATTTCAACATTTTTTTCAGTTCATTATAAATCTTTTCCTAGAAATTTTTCACCTTGGGACAAGTCCACCACATATGAAAAAAGGTTCCTTCCTTTTCTTTACATTTCCAACATAGATTGTCACAGTTATGATATATCTTTGCTAATTTTACAGGAGTCAAATACCATCTGTAAATCATTTTCATTATATTTGTTGGCAATTTAATTTCTGTAGGTGTGGAGGGGTAGTGATCCTGAGATATGTTAATCTCCCCCCCCCCCCGTGTCACCTAGACACCAGAGTAAGATAGACAGACAGACAGACAGAGACAGACAGAATGAATATATATTGAATATTGAAGCCATTTTGCAAATGTTTTAGACAAACTCTTCTCAGTGGGCAGCATCCATCCATTGCAGGAGAGGTGAGGCTTTCCACCTTGCTAGCTAGGAATCTTGATACCAAAGATCTCTCTCTCTCTCCAGTCAAGAACTTTCTTGAGGACTCTCACCATCAAGACCAGGAACCCCAAAGAATGAGGAAAAAAATATTAAACTCTCCTTCTGCAACCTATCAGAAACCTATTCTGCAACCCTTTAACCTTCTGCTTTGATTCTCAGTCAGGCATAGGCGTAGCCAGGATTTTTGCAGGGCTTTTGTCATGGGGAGGGGCAGAACTTCAGTTTGCTATGTATTTTTTTAATTTATTTTTATTTATTTAGGGGGCAGCTGCCCCTCCCTGCCCCCTGGCTGCACCCATGCAGTCAGGCCCCCTCTTTCTTGCCCTCTTCCCTCCCTTGCTGTGCTTATTTCTTCCTCTTTAGTTGTCTCAACCCAAAATCTCAGCCTCCTGCTACTCTCACTCATCTCAGCCTCCCACCTTTCTTCTGACTTTAATCTGAAAACTCCCCAAAGCCCCACATCCCAAACCTCCCTCATTCCCCTGCCTTTATGGTACAACAGGGGTCGGCAAACTTTTTCAGCAGGGGCCGGTCCACTGTCCCTCAGACGTTGTGGGGGGCCGGACTATATTTTGGAAAAAATAATGATGAACGAATTCCTATGCCCCACAAATAACCAAGAGATGCATTTTAAATAAAAGGACACATTCTACTCATGTAAAAAACACGCTGATTCCCGGCCCATCTGTGGGCTGGATTTAGAAGGCGATTGGATCCGGCCCCCGGGCTTCAGTTTGCTTACCCATGTGGTATAACCTTCACCTCTTCATCCAACACCCTCTCTCCCCTTTCTCTGACCACATCCTAGTTTTACTGTATGTTTCTAGGAAAGCTGCTAAGAATAACCGTTGTACTCATTTTAACTCTCCTAAACTGAAGCTGACATTTGCCTACTGTTTTCTTATTTTGTTTGTTTTCTGTTATAGTCAATGCACTAATTCCCACTGATAGCCTAATGTTTACTTCTGATTTATCACTGCCCTCTGCGTTAACTTTTTGGGTGCCAAACTCTGGAGCGTATCCAGGTCTTGATGATGAAAGATCCACAAGACGGAGTGTTGGATTGCGTACGAGAATTTCAGGTTTGTGTGCAAAAAGTGCACACATCATAACCATGCAGTGTGCAAAATGTACCTTCTCCAACAAATTTATTTGCAAACACATTATTGCTCTTCCCATAGAATTTGCCAATCTACTGAGGCTACAAGTTGAGTGTGTTTGCGTGTGGCAGGGAGGGTGGAGCTATGTAAAAGGTAAAGGGACCGTCATGATCAACTCTGGGGTTGCGGCGCTCATCTCGCTTTATCGGCCAAGGGAGCTTGACTAAGCCGCTTCTGGGGAACCAGAGCAGTGCACGGAAACACCGTTTACCTTCCCGCTGGAGTGGTACCTATTTATCTACTTGCACTTTGACATGCTTTTGAACTGCTAGGTTGGCAGGAGCAGGGACCGAGCAACGGGAGCTCACCCCATCGCGGGGATTCAAACCGCCAACCTTCTCATTGGCAAGTCCTAGGCTCTGTGGTTTAACCCACAGTGCCACCTGCGTCCCAGCAGGGTGGAGCTAAGGAACACCAAATACAGGCCAATATTTACAAGCTTCTCTTCCCACACCCCCATTCCATGTGAAAATGGGGTCCTTTACCAATATCAAGGGGTCTTGCCTTTCCGTCATTTGTAATGTGAGCTCTTCTCTGCTGGCCTGAACTCTCCAAGCCTCTTTCAATAAGCTGCATTTATTTTGTGGCATCGATTGCTGGATCTCTGCCACCCAATCCATCTCAGGCAGGATGCTTCCGACTCTGAACATCTTTAAAAAACCTGCACTCTTAAAAGGAGAACTTGCCACAGACGAGCTTCTTCTTTCCAGGATCCATCAGAAAGAGACGAAGGCTGAATGTTTGCAGTGGGGCAAAGTGCAAAGAAAGTTTTATTCAGTTCCGGGCCGGATAGAGGCCACTTCTAAGACGCGGAACTAGTTTATCAGCCATTCCCCCTCTCACTTTCAGGGAACCAGAGAACTGTAGGCTAGAGACCTGTAACACTGATCTTTCGGTCATTTGCCAAACTATAGTTCTCAGGATTCTTTAGGCAAGGCCGCAATAGTCACAATGAGCATCAAATCCATGTACAGTGGTGCCTCGCAAGACGAAATTAATCTGTTCCGCGAGTCTCTTCGTCTTGCGGTTTTTTCGTCTTGCGAAGCACGGCTATTAGCGGCTTAGCGGCTATTAACGGCTTAGCGGCTTTAAGAAAAGGAAACAAACTCGCAAGAACTCGCAAGACGTTTCGTCTTGCGAAGCAAGCCCATAGGGAAATTCGTCTTGCGGAACGACTCAAAAAACGCAAAACCCTTTCGTCTAGCGAGTTTTTCGTCTTGCGAGGCATTCATCTTGTGGGGCACCACTGTACATTTTCAGCGCACATACATATCTAATACACCTTCGAAAGCTAGAAAGGAACTTCTGTTTGAGAGACAAACTTTACAAAGTCCAGAAAATGATCAAAATGGGGGGGATTATTGGGTTGTTTTTGATTATGTATTTTGTGTTTTTATATTCTGATTTTATGTTGTAACTGCCCTGAGACTTGCAGGCAAAGGGTGGTATACAAAACAAACAAACAAACAAACAAACAAACAAACAAAATGATGATGATGATAATAATGATAATGACAAAACTACTACTACTACTACTACTACTACTACTAGGGACGCAGGTGGCGCTGTGGGTTAAACCACAGAGCCTAAGGCTTGCCGATCGGAAGGTCGGCGGTTCGAATCCCCGTGATGGGGTGAGCTCCCGTTGCTCAGTTCCTGCTCCTGCCAACCTAGCAGTTCGAAAGCACGTCAAAGTGCAAGTAGATAAATAGGTACCGCTCCGGCGGGAAGGTAAACAGCGTTTCTGTGAGCTGCTCTGGTTCGCCAGAAGTGGCTTAGTCATGCTGGCCACATGACCCGGAAGCTGTATGCTGGCTCCCTCGGCCAATAAAGCGAGATGATTGCAACCCCAGAGTCGGCCACGACTGGATCTAATGGTCAGGGGTCCCTTTACCTTTACCTTTACTACTACTACATCTTTGTGTTGGTGTAAGTCAGCTTTTTTAAAAGCCCCATGGATCACGCCACCCACTGGGTATTGGCTAAAATCGCCTTGCATGATCCCAGGGGAACGGCCAGGACCTCTTGCTCCTCCCCCCCATTTTAACCCTGTCAGGTGAGTTCTTGGGTCCCGCGCGCAACCAGGACCCTCTGTTATGAGGATCCCATCTGCCAGAACCTACCACATCTCACATATGGGTGATAAAAACTTATATTTCTTCTCTCTTTGGTGATCACTCGTAGCCGAGTAAGATTGTCTTCCATTAACACGGTTTTAAGAATGAGTCTGTAAGTGACTGTGGAGGCCAGTTCTGGATCCACACATCCTTCCACAGTGGGGACATTGGTTCCCGGGCGGGAGTTGATCACGATGTGGATTTGCCAAGCGTGCCTTCCTCTTAGCACGTTTCTCCCTTGCATCCTGAGTTTGAGTGTCTTCAAAGTCCATGACACCTTTGGTCAAGGCTGTTCTCCAACTGGAGCACTCGCAGGCCAGTGTTTCCCAGTTGTCAGTGTTTATACTACATTTTTTTAGATCCAGCGAGTGAGGATAAAAACTTATGGCACTGGGAACAGAGGGACAGTCTTTTGCGACCCCTGCTGATGGTTTACGACTTCCATATTCACCAATCAGGACTAAGGATCCCAACCTGGAACACTGAATCAGCAGAAGGGTGTTTCTAGCTGGGCTGAGTTCGATGAGGCACCCAAAACTGGAACAGAGCCATAAAACTGCCTGCCACTGAGAGTGCTGTGTGCCAGGCCCATGAAGGATTGCTTTAATTATTTGAATTTAATTTTATATTTAATTTTAATTAAGGATTTTATTTGATTTTTACTAGGAACTGGTGTTTTTGACTAGGAAGCAATTCCGGAATCTTTATCTTCTGGGACCATTAACTAAAGGCAAAAAACAATTTATGTTGCAAAATATTGCAGTGAATCTTCTGCAGTGAACTCCTGTTTGGGGTTCTAGTCAGTCATCTTCTTATTTTCTTTTTTTGCCCAAATGATATGCTCCATTCCTCACTGGCTGCTTTGTTTTTAAAATATTTTTGAATGCTTAAAAAAATTAAAGATTTTTGTACTTCTTTAAACTTTGAGATTTCTCTGAGAATGCCGTTTCGTCTCGGTGGCTTTGTTCTGGATAGATATCCATCATCACTCTCTGCCTGAGTTCACTATTAGAAGGTCTGATTAAAGATGACATCTGAGCTTTTCTCTATCGGCAACCACAATCGCCCAGCACAGACTAGAAAGAAGGTTTCCTAGGACAACCCAAAGCAGACCTGAACCCTTCTGTACACCTTATAAGGCAGTGGTTCTCAATTTTTTCTCTCTGGGCCACATTTTAAGAATACAAATTTGCATGTGCCACATGCAATTCATTTTTCACTGATAAGAAATACATTGGAAAACAAAAAGAGCCAATTCCTAGCAGTGCTTGATTTATAACAAAGAACACAACTACTTTATACTATGATCATGGGACATCCAGAAAGTATAAAACAATGCAGCTACATAAGAACACGAAGCATTCTCAAAATATAACTATAAATGAGCCTTTTACATATGTACTGAAACTCAGTGAGAGGTGTAAACTTGCTTTTCCTGGATAATCTCATTTAAAGGTAAAGGTACCCCTGACCGTTAGGTCCAGTCAAGGACGACTCTGGGGTTGTGCGCTCATCTCGCTCTATAGGCCGAGGGAGCCGGCGTTTGTCCGCAGACAGTTTTTCCAGTCATGTGGCCAGCATGACTAAGCTGCTTCTGGCGAACCAGAGCAGTGCATGGAAATGCTGTTTACCTTCCCGCTGGAGAGGTACCTATTTATCTACTTGCACTTTGACGTGCTTTCAAACTGCTAGGTAGGCAGAAGCAGGGACCGAGCAATGGGAGCTCACCCCGTCGTGGGGATTCGAACCGCCGACCTTCGGATCGGCAAGCCCTAGGCTCTGTGGTTTAGACCACAGCGCCACCCGCATCCCCTGATCTCATTTATATTAGATCTAATCCGAGTGAAACAAACTCTCATCTCACCAGCATAAAGAAGCCTTTCTCTTTTCTGATTTTTCATTCGTTAGAGTTGAAAATCCCTGTTCACAAAATAATAATAATAATAATAATAATAATAATAATAATATATACCTGGTGTGTGCTGTAGGAGGGAGTGAGAGAGGCAGGGGGAGGCACCAAATTTTAGTGTCACACATGCTCAAATTGTGACTACTGAACATAGGAAAGTGCACGGGTATGTGTTTTCCTCTCTGTTCCTTGGTGGCGGCTGATGCCTCCCTGGGGAAGGGCACCCAAAAATCCAGATGTGCCTATGGACCTACAAAGGTGGGTGACCTCTGTCCCAGAACGATGCCATGTCAGGCACATGGTAGGAAATTTTAAAATAAAGCTAATTGGGGCGCCACAGCCCAAGGTTGCTGAGCACTGACACTGGCCCTATCCTGCTCTAATCTGCATCATTATCATGTGTCTTCTACTATTGCCTTCCTAATAATAATAATAATAATAAACAAACAAACAAACAAACAAACAAATTATTTCTTCCTCGCCCATCTGGCTGGGTTTCCCCAGCCACTCTGGGCGGCTTCCAACAGAAGCTTAAAAATGCATTAAAGCATCTGTCATTAAAGACCTTCCCTAAACAGGGCTGCCTTCAGATGTCTTTGAAAAGTCAGATACAGTGGTGCCTCGCAAGACGAAATTAATCCGTTCCGCGAGTCTCTTCGTCTTGAGGTTTTTTCGTCTTGCGAAGCAACCCTATTAGCGGATTAGCGGATTAGCGGCTATTAGTGGCTTAGCGGCTATTAACGGCTTAGCGGCTTAGTGGCTTAGTGGCTATTAATGGCTTAGCGGCTTAGCGGCTATTAGCGGCTTAGCGGCGTAGCCACTATTAACGGCTTAGCGGCTTAGCCGCTATTAACGGCTTAGTGGCTTAGCGGCTATTAGCAGCTTAGCGGCTTAGCGACTATTAATGGCTTAGCGGCTATTAACGGCTTAGCAGCTATTAACGGCTTAACGGCTTAGCGGCTATTAACGGCTTAGCGGCTTAGTGGCTTTAAGAAAAAGGAAACAAACTCACAAGAACTCGCAAGACGTTTCGTCTTGCGAAGCAAGCCCATAGGGAAATTCGTCTTGCGGAATGACTAAAAAAACGGAAAACTCTTTCGTCTTGCGCGTTTTTCGTCTTGCGAGGCATTTGTCTTGCGGGGCACCACTGTAGTTGTGAGGGGAGAGACTCCTCATTCCACCTGCCTTGCCACTCCCTCCGGCCCTAGGAGGCCTCATAAGGGAGCTGGTCCTGGAGGAAGAACTGTGAGGGGAGAGACTCCATCAGGCAAGGCCTCCTTCCACCCGCCTTGCCCCACCCTCTGCTTCTCAGTGTGTATTGTATTGTTTTATGTACTGTGGCTTGCCATTGTTTTATATAGTTTAGATATTATTGCAACTGTTGAGTGGATTTCTGTTTAACTTTTATATGTTGATTTTTTTAATACTATTCTAATGACTGTTGAATGTTACTTTTTTGATGGAGGTTGCCTATTTTAAAGTTATGTTTTATTATCACATTTTTGCATTGCATTAGATTGTTATAAGATGTATATTTTTTGTTTCTTCAGCTTGTAAACCGCCTTGAGTATTGTAAGATAGAAAGACGGTATACAAATTAAAAATGATGATGGTGATGATGATATTCCTTTGACATCTGATGGGAGGGCATTCCACGGGGAAGGTGCCACCACTGAGAAGGCCCTCTGCCTCGTTCCCTGTAACCTTGCTTCTCGCAGGGAGGGAACCGCCAGAAGGCCCTCGGCGCTGGACCTTTGAATGCCCTTCTATTTGCCAACAAATTTCATGTTCCCCGAGGTGTCCAATTATCTGGGCAGGGTGGTATTTTATGTTGTCAAAAGCCAGGCATCAGACACATGGACCTGGATAGCATTCTGCTCTGAAGTATTTAGAAAGAGAATATCAATCTCCATCGCCTGTGCTGGCTAAATGCCACAGCTGCCAACTGCGAGGGTCATGTTAGGGTTGTGTGTGTAATACGTTTTATGGGGTCAGCAAGCAAGCTGCTGAAATATTGCAGAGCTCCAACCTCTGCCAAGCCTCTTAGCCATTAGGTAACTGGAGGTAGAATCCTCAGGTCTTCCAGAATGTCAAACTTCTTTTGATTGATCCCATTCATTTCGCGGCCATTGTATGTTGGCATATGCCACATCCAATCCATTAGCTGTGTGCATTCAAATGCACTTAAGTTTTTATTGCTTCTAGTTCTGTGTCATCAGCAAAGAAAGGTAAAGTTGATCTTCATCTAAATCACTGTCACGGATTATTGCGATTGATTACAACAAGCAAAGAGAGCTTTTTCAAGTTTAAAAGTTATGCTCCTTTTATTTCCCCAAGTAGTAATCTGTGCTGTTTAAGTTATTGCACTAGGGCTGCGTCTGAAAATACGGTGTATATTACATTCCTTGTTTCAAACATTTCTTTTAGTGTTAGCTTCTTTCTCCCCCCCCCTCCAATTCTCTGTCTTGTTCTGCTTTTATTTCTTCCTAGTGCTTACTTTGTAAGATAGAATAGAAACTCAAAAAGGCTGTTTGAAGATTTTCTTGAGTTAGCTGGGGGTCTTCTGAGTGTGCCATCAATGTATAGAGCCAAACTTGACCCTCCAGCTGTTTTGAGACTACAACTCCCACCATCCCTGGCTAACAGGACCAGTGGTCAGGGATGATGGGAATTGCAGTCCCAAAACAGCTGGAGGGCCAAGTTTTGGCCATCACTAGTGTAGAGGCACAAGTCAATTCTGTGTCCAGGGCATCTCTCTACCAGCTCCATCTGGTACACAGGCTGAGACCCTACCTGTCTCGTCAGAGTGGCAAATGCTCTGGTTAGCTCCCGCTTGGACTGCAATGCGTTCTACGTGGGGCTACCTTTGAAGGTGACTTGGAAACTACAACTAATCCAGAATGTGGCAGCTAGACTGGTGACTGGGAGTGGCTGCCAGGACCATATAACGCTGGTCCTAAAAGAATTACATTGGCTCCCAGTAGGTTTCCAAGCACAATTCAAAGGGTTTTGCTGAAAGCCCTAAAAGGCTTCCACCTCCATCGTCCAGCAGATTCTAAACAGATAAAGAGCTACAGTATGTGATTTTAAGAAGACACTTGAAGGCAGTCTTGTTCAGGGAAGTTTATAGAGTTTGATGCTGTATTGTGTTTTCACTATTTTTTGTTGGGAGCCACCCAGAGTGGCTGGGGCAACCCAGTCAAATGGGCAGCGCGCGCGCGCGCACACACACACACACATATGGAAAAGTAAAGGGATGTGGGTGGCGCTGTGATCTAAACCACTGAGCCTCATGAGCTTGCTGATCAGAAGGTCAGCGGTTTGATCCCCGTGACGGGGTGAGCTCCCATTGCTCAGTCCCAGCTCCTGCCAACCTAGCAGTTTGAAAGCATGCCAGTGCAAGTAGATAAATAGGTACCACTGTGGTGGGAAGGTAAACGGCATTTCTGTGTGCTCTGGTTTCTGTCATGGTGTTCCATTGCGTCAGAAGCAGTTTAGTCCTGCTGGCCACATGACAGAGAAAGGTGTCTGTGGACAAACACCGGCTCCCTCAGCCTGAAAGCGAGATGAGTGCCACAACTCCATAGTCGCCTTTGACTGGACTTAACAATCCAGGGGTCCTTTACCTTTTACCTTTACCTACCTTTTGTGTACAAATAAATGTGGTTGATTCATTACCTTGTTATTATAGACCTCTGGTAAGGGAACTTAATATGCAGGAACAGGAGAGTAAAAGCAAGTTAAGAAACCCCAGTGTGGTCCAAGGCGCAAAGGACATAATTCTCATGAACATGGTGAGCAATGTGTTGGCGTGCCAGGCAGTGACTCCTTGTTATTCAGGTGAACAGCAGTTGTGGGCTGGTACATTGGCCAGTTTCTCTCTCCTTCAGCATCAGCATGACATCACAATGGCCTGTGTCTCTCCTGGTTGGACACATCCGTGTGAGAACACAGTGGCCAGTCTGTGAAATAGGCAGCATCAGCATGAGATCACAGTGGCCAGTTTTTCTCCCTCAGGTGGCTAGCATGGACCACTGTGGGCAGCCTCTGTCCTTCAGGCAGGGAGCATCATCTTGTGGGGAGAGGCATTCATTCCTCTTCGTTCCTCTGATGGAAGGCTGGTAGCTCTCCAGATGTTGTTGGACTACAACAACCCCCATCACCCCTGTCCATTGGCCGTGCTCTCTGGGGCTGATGGGAGTTGGAGTCCAAAACATTTGGAGGGCATCAGACTGGGGAAGGCTGGCGTCATCAGCAGATGGTGCCTGGGCAGTCTTCTACCTCACTTGAAGTGATGGACATTTGCCTCAAATCAAAGGATATTAAATAGATGGCTTGAGAACAACGCCACTGTCAAGGGAAGTAATAGTACCACTCTATTCTGCCTTGGTCAGACCACACCTGGAATACTGTGTCCAATTCTGGGTGCCACAATTTAAGAAGGGTGCTAGCAAGCTGGAATGTGCGCAGAGGAGGGCAACCAAGATGATCAAGCGTTTGGATACCAGGCCTTATGAGGAAAGGATGAAGGAATTGGGTGTGTTTATCCTGGAAAAGAGAAGACAGAGGAGATACGATAGCCATCTTCAAATATCTCAAGAGCTCTCACATGGAAGATGGAGCAAGCTTGTTTTCTCTTGCCCTGGAGGGTAGGACTCAAACCAGTGGCTTCAAGTTACAAGAGAGGGGACTCCTACTAAACACCAGGAAGAACTTTTTGACAGGGCTGTGGAATGGACTCCTTCAGAAGGTGCTGGCCTCTCCTTCCTTGGAGGTTTCTAAGCAGAGGTTGGCTGGCCAACTGTCATGGATGCTTTAGTTGAGATTCCTCTGGTTACGTGAAACATATTCAATAGACACACAAGACATAACCGGCTGTACGTTTGAATAAATAAGGTATACTATTCATTGTATTAAATTGTAGATATCAACAGAAGTAGCTCATAAAGTTCAACGAAGAAAGCAGAAGACCCAGGGGATCAGTTCATTCTCTAATCATATGGGTCACTTTAAGAAAGAAATTTTGCATCTGTGGATTGCCAACACTTGTTACTCAAATCAATATTGTGCTTGTCCATATAACTCTACTTTGTAAAAGCTGCTGCTTACACCAGCTATTACTATGCTATAAGATCCACTGTCCTGTGATATCTTATATGGTATGTATGGTTGTTGATGGTTTTTATATTATCTTTGTTGTAAAAATGTGAGAGATTACGATATTGTATTTATTTGCATTACCTAGAGTTTGTACTACTGATGAAGCCCAGGACGGCGAAACAAGGCTAATATTCTGGAAATCCTTGTCTTACGACTCCGTAAAAGGATTCTGTGGAACTGTATCAACCTTTTGTGTGGATTATTGGACTCTATGAACAGACAGGTGGAATAGACACACATATATGGACCTTATGCACAAACTGATTAGAGAATAAACAGTATACCTTATTTATTCAAACGTACAGCTGGTAGGGACGCGGGTGGTGCTGTGGGTTAAACCATAGAGCCTAGGACTTGCTGATCAGAAGGTCAGTGGTTCGAATCCCCACGATGGGGTGAGCTCCCGTTGCTCGGGCCTGCTCCTGCCAACCTAGCAGTTCGAAAGCACGTTAAAGTGCAAGTAGATAAATAGGTACCACTCCAGCGGGAAGGTAAACGGCGTTTTCGTGCACTGCTCTGGTTCGCCAGAAGCAGCTTAGTCATGCTGGCCACATGACCTGGAAGCTGTATGCCGGCTCCCTCAGCCAATAAAGCGAGATGAGTGCCGCAACCCCAGAGTCGGTCACGACTGGACCTAATGGTCATGGGTCCCTTTACCTTTTTACAGCTGGTTACGTCTTGTGTGTCTATTGAATATATTAGTTGAGATTCCTGCATAGTAGGGGGCTGTGCCCTTGGGGTCCCTTCCAACTCTATGATTTCAGATCATAACCCAGATCAGTACGGTCTCTTCTGATCTCTTTGGTCTACCCTGACGCTCCCCATTATCACAACCAGGAGCTGTGCACACAAACTGGATGAGATTATTCTGCAAAGCGGTGGGCAAGGGGCAGTGCACTTACCTCATGGGGTTCTTCCATCAGGGCTTTCTTTTGAGTTTAAGGTGTGTTTCCTGCCTCTAAGGATCTTGTAATCTAAAGTGCGAAAGCAAAGCAAACTGTTAATAATTAAAGAGCCTTCAGGCCTTTTACTTGGATTGAGGTGGGGGCTCAGAGACCATTCTATTTTTAAAGTGTCCATATAATGCTTGCTCTAGCAATATTGCCCTACAGGGCTTTGAGCTGAAGTTTTTATCAGACAGATGGTGGGAAGAGTGAAACTGAGAGTAGGTGGCAAATAATGTGGTCTTTCTTGCTGAGGTGCCATCTCCTCCAGCAGCTGCGTAGTCCTGTTCTCGCTGCAGGCGTCTCTGCCTTAGATTCAGCCAACGGAGATGGGTTTGGGAAACGCTGTCCAAGGGGTTTTACCAGTGGCGTAGCATGGGGTGGGGCACAAGGGCGGTTGCCCCAGGCACAAAATTCTTGTTGTTGTTGTTGTTTAGTCGTTTAGTCAGGTCCGACTCTTCGTAACCCCATGGACCAGAGCACGCCAGGCACTCCTGTCTTCCACTGCCTCCCGCAGAGTGGTCAAACTCGTGCTGGTAGCTTCGAGAACACTGTCCAACCATCTCGCCCTCTGTCGTCCCCTTCTCCTTGTGCCCTCCATCTTTCCCAACATCAGGGTCTTTTCCAGGGAGTCTTCTCTTCTCATGAGGTGGCCAAAGTATTGGAGCCTCAGCTTCAGGATCTGTCCTTCCAGTGAGCACTCAGGGCTGATTTCCTTCAGAATGGAGAGGTTTGATCTTCTTGCAGTCCATGGGACTCTCAAGAGTTTCCTCCAGCACCATAATTCAAAAGCATCAATTCTTCGGCGATCAGCCTTCTTAGGGCTGCAAAATTTGCCTCAATCCAGCTGCGCTCCTTCATTACTGGGCTCCGTTGAAAACAGCTTCTCCATGCAAACAAGGAAGTGACCTCTCCAGACAATGGAACAGCTCTTCTTTTCCTGAGGACACCGGTCCTGAGAGATCTGCATTGGCTCCCAGTACGTTTCCAAGCACAATTCAAAGTATTGGTGCTGACCTTTAAAGCCCTAAACGGCCTCGGTCTTGTATACCTGAAGGAGCGTCTCCACCCCCATCGTTCAGCCCGGACACTGAGATCCAGCGCCGAGGGCCTTCTGGCGGTTCCCTCATTGCGAGAAGTGAGGTTACAGGGAACCAGACAGAGGGCCTTCTTGGTAGTGGCGCCCGTCCTGTGGAACGCCCTCCCACCAGATGTCAAGGAAATAAGAAGCTATCCTATCTTTAAAAGACATCTGAAGGCAGCCCTGTTTAGGGAAGTTTTTTATATTTAATGCTGTACTGTTTTTAACACTTGATTGGGAGCCGCCCAGAGTGGCTGGGGAAACTCAGCCAGATGGGCGGGGTATAAATAATTTGTTGTTGTTGTTGTTGTTGTTATTATTATTATTATTATCTCTGTGGCTGTGATCTCCTGGGTGATGCTGAAGCTGTTAGGAAGTTGAATGCACATGGTACTCCCATTTCCCTTCCTTCCCCCTCCACGTGGCCCCAGTCGCTGGCAACCCGTCATGGATGTAGTCAGGATTTTTTTTGGGGGGGGGGCAGGACTTTTGTGGCAGGGGCAGAACCAATGTTTTATGAAATAGAGTCGAGTGTGAATTTCATGCTCTTTATTCAGCTCATAGTAGCAATGAATGACACTTCCCCCAAAACATCCAGCTATATATACATTATTTACACAATGGGCCCTGTGTGATTGGCTAATTCCTGGCTGCTCCTGTAGGCCAATCAGGTTGTGTATTCACCTCCTCCAGAAGCCTGGTTGGCTGCTCCTGCAGGCCAATCTGGTCGCTGATTCACTTCCACCTGGAGTTGGATTGGGTGGCTCCTGTGGACCAACCAGACTGCTGCATTCTGGATCCTATTTTTCTAGGATTCATCTCAGTACATAACATTTTACTTGATCTGTGGGGGCAGCTGCCCCCCCTTGGCTACGCCCATGCAACCATGGGATTTACCAGTGGTTCCTTTCACTCAAGCCCTGCCTTTAACCTGCCCCACAATTAATGTCATGGGTAGGTGGGTGTGGCTTGGCTGAAATGGCCCCATGGGCCAAATGGGGAGGGCTGGCAGGCTATGTTAGTCCTATGGAATGGAGCTTCCTCACTCCTGCCTTAGAATAACTACATCTGAGGACCATGGATCTATGAAGAAACTTGGGCCTGTGTCCAGCAAACAACAGTCACATCTAGCGAAGTGTTTCTCAGAGTTATGGTCAACATTTGGTGAGGCTGTTGTTGTCCTTAGGGCAGGGGTAGGCAACCTAAGGCCCAGGGACCGGATGCGGCCCAATCACCATCCCTGTGGATGGTCTGGGAATCAGCGTGTTTTTACATGAGTATAATGTGTCCTTTTATTTAAAATGCATCTGGGTTATTTGTGGGGCATAGGAATTCATTCATTTCCCCCTCAAAATATAGTCTGGCCCACCACATGGTCTGAGGGACGGTGGACTGGCCCATGGCTGAAAAAGGTTCCTGACCCCTGCCTTAGGGCCTATCATTTATCAAAACGTTATTTCCTTCCAGATGAAAGACATAATTCAACATGCAGGTAGACTAACAATGAATACTAGCCAAATTCTATATGCTCTGTGGGAAATTGTTTAAAGAGGGGCATTGGATTGCATAGATCTACAAGGCTGGATTGCTTACTTATCCAGACAGGCCAGATAATATAAAGGTAGATAAAATATACAGATCTTTTGCTTAAGTGAATTAATGAATCCA